TTTTAGCTTTTACATATATAAAAATATGAACGAGAGAAAAAGAAAAAGAGAAAGAAAAAATCTAATATAACTGTATCTGAGAGAGGATATCAGAACAAAAGGAAAGATATAAACCGTTGCATTTTTTAAGTCCCAACATCAGCTAAAGCAACCTCTGCAATTAAAAGACATAAAGATTCAAGTGGATTATCATTAGGTGCAAATAATTTTAAAGCTGTTTCATAGTGTAATGAAACTAGTGGATGTAAATGTTTTCGACGAGTTTGACTTTCTTCTGTACGAAAAGCATTATGTTCATAAATAAAATCAAGAGATAAATTTGACTGATTTAAATTATCCAATAAATTTTGCACGATCATGTAATTCAAATACATGACATGACTATAATTTTCAATTGTTTGATCAATTGCCTGTTGTTTACATATAAATGTTTATGTTGTTAATTCACCTTTTCCACGTTCTTCACTCATCGTATATAATTCTTGTTCACCTAACCATGCATCAGCATTACTCGAAGCATAATAATATTGATAAAGATGTTCTAATAATCCAATTTGTTGTCGATGTTGTTTTATTGTTTGTTTTAAATTATTATTATTAAATGCCAACTGTTCTAAACGTTGTTGAAATTCATTTGCACGTGATGGATAATCTTGACTTATACATATACATTCATTATTTAAATGTTCCAATAACGTTGTTCATGATTTTTAATTTCTTTGAATAATGTTTCATTTTACGTTTTAATAATCTAATATCCATTAATGTTTGTTGTTTATTATTAAATATTAAATCAGAATATGTTTGCAATAAATGACATTTTTCACTTAACCACATTTCATCTTCAATCTCACGTAAATATTAATGTAAATGTTTTTGTTGTTTTGTAAACGTTTTGTACCAATTTCATCCGATTTTCAGTTCTAATTGTTTTAATTTTCCAGCTGGTATACATGACTCATCAACTTGTTGTTGACGTTTTAATAATTCTTCTTCAATAGTTGTTTGTCTAAGTAATAAAAGATTTGTTACTGTTAAATTATTTCTAATGGTTCAAGTGTTGGTGTTATTGTTGAACTTTGTCGTTCCTTATTGTTTTTTTTTTTTTTTTTTTTTTTTGAAGACGTTGTTTATCATAATCAGTTCAATAATTGGTGTTAATTCAAATACCCAAGAATATTCAGAAGAATTTCCATCTATTCCGATTTCATCAATAACATTTTAAATTTCACGATCAACATTATTCATAATTTGATATTGTCCACTGTAGTTTTCAATTCCTTCTGTTGATGTTACATATGATAACATTAAACGACAAGCACCAGGTATACTCATTATATATGATAATATCTAGATAATGTTTAAGTAATGTGTGTATTGTACCAGGTTCTTCTAAACATGTTTCATAATCAGAATTTGATACAATATTATGTGTCATTGTATAAAGTAATGTAGCAACTGGTAATGTATATAAATTGTCATCATGATCTGTTTCACATAAATTTGTTAAATCATATAATGTAACAATATCATCATCTAGACCTTTACATGACCAATATATATATTCTGCTTTGGTTGTATTTGAATAAAGTATATCTTCTGTTTTAATTATTTCATATAATTGAATAATAGCATCGACATGATAACACATTGCTAATTCAAGTACATTACACATTAAATCATTAAGCCAACGATTAATACCAGTTAAAGCATTTATTGATTTATTCATATGTCTTAAACGAAGACTAATAGCTGAATGTTGTTCATCGCCAAAAATAGATAAATCTGAACCAATTAACATTTTCATAATTTCAAATGTCCAATCAACAGTTCATTGAGATGATGATGAAGTAAAATGAAAAGAAAGAAAAGAAAAGAAAAGGGAAAAAGGAAAAAAATATATAATAATAGATATAATAACAACAAATAAACAAAAAATATATATATATTTATATATATATTTTTTTTTTTTTTTTTTTTTTTTACTATTTGAGTTGTTATTATAATTATTCATGATGATGTTGATGACTATGTTGAAGATGATATTGATGACGATTTTGATGATGATGTTGATGACGATATTGATGATAATGTTTTCGATCAAACATGTCTTCTGGTATTTGATCTTGATATTTTTGTTTGATCATGTTGTTCTTTACACCAATAAATAATGTTCCATCAACCACCTTCACATGTACATATTTAAAATCATGTTGTTTAAGGATTTTCTTCACGAAGGACTCTTTAAATTTATAATAAATAGACCGGGTAATGTGATGTTGATAACGACGCATACGGTGTGTGTTATTTCTTTTTTTGTTTCTTCGTTGTCGTGATGCTTGTGACCGTAAACGATGTGGTTTATGTTTTGATGTTGTTGGTTTTTCTTCAGCTGATTGATCTTCATTATTATTATCAAGAATAAGTTCATTATTGTCATCAATATCAGTAATAAGTTCATTGCCTTCATTATCACCAATAATAAGTTGATCATCTTCATTAATAATTAATTCATTATTATTAACCATTAAATTATCATCTAATTTTTGTTCAGCAGTTGATGTTTCTTCATGTTCAAATTGTTTGTTGGTAACTGGTTCGATAAGTTGGTTAAGATAAATTTCATCATCTGATATTGGTTGTAAATCATCAACATTTAAATTAAATAATTTTTGTAGATTAATATTTTTTTTAATTTTTTTACTTTTTTTATTTGATGAATTAATTTTTGGAAGTGGTAATGCTTCAAATGATGTAAATAATTCAACAATATTGATATCATTTAATTGTTTGAATGTCCAATATTCTAAAACTGGTCGAATAATATATGTTGTTGAAAAGCAATCGTAGATAGCATAATTAATCATTCTTTTTCTTCGACCATATGATAATGTTGAATTATTGGATGTTAAACCTGCAGCCCAATTATTAACTGTACTTGATTTGTCGATGAACATGTGTGCTGCATAACTTAAGGCCTTCTGAAGAGCCCATTTTTCACCGGGACGGTATGGACTTCGTTCATGACAAGTACACCTTGATAATGAATAATTTTGTGTAGTAACATTATCATAATTAATAACATCAGGATGTTGACGATGATGATCCGGGCTACATGACTCACAATGAGCCAGTGCCCATTCATACCAATCCGGAAAATATAATTGTATGTTGATTAATGATGCTGTTGTTGGCCAATTTAATAAGTGATAATCTTGCATTGGTTCTAATTCTTTGTCCATGTCTCCCCACGAGTATAATGTATTTCCAGATCTAAATATTAATGAAAAAAGTTCTTTAATTTTTACATACGTGGGTAATTTATTTGATGGTAAATGTTGTAATTCGATTAATATTATTAATAATGGTAATTGAGGTGGTATGGTTTGTATTTGTATTAATGCTAATTGACCATTTGATCTTTCAGATTCGGTATCGATGGTAAATTGAGTACATGCTTGTACATGATTGATCAATAAATGCATTTCTTCCATTGATGTATAGTTGTTGACATGAATCACTTTGTACATAGATGGTGGTACAGCAAATTGTGGATATTGTTGTCGTAATTGAAAATTTTCTTCAGCCTTGGTTAATTTTTGTATATGTTGTTGTTGTTGATACTGTTCACGACCATTTGAGTTATCATCAATATCACGTAAATAATGTGGAATAATTTTATCTGACATAGTAATGACTAGAAAGAGAAATAAAATAAACAAAATGAACATAAATAAAATAAAAATAACATATAACATCTTATTGGTTCATAGCAATAATCCCATCGATAAATCAATGTATAGATATCACTCATGGATGAAAGCACATTTTATACAATATATAGTTAAGAAAAAAAATTCATAAGGAATAATCAGAACAGAAACATCCCTAAAGAGGAGTTTCCTGACATGTAATATAATGTCAATTTTTGTAATAATCAATTTTTGATAATGCTATCCATATGGGAATGATGATAACTATTGATAATTAATGCGCGCATATTAAAATATCAATTTTTCCACACATTAATGAATCAATGTTGTCCCATGAAAGGCGTTGCGCATACGCCAAACATAGTCAAACATCAACCATTATATCATAACAAAACATATACATTATCATTAATTGATCATTAACAAAAATAAATACATTAATATTCTATATTGTTTTGGAAATGAATATAGGTCGAATATCATTGACATGCACTCTCGATTCGACCTGCGTATCTTCATCTTTAACCCAATAAATTGGATGTTGTTTTTTAATAATCACTTTAGGTGTAATTGAATATTTTGGATCTAATTTCGTTTTTGTTCCATGAATTTTAATCAATACTAAATCATTAATTTCATAATGTGGATCTGCACGTTGTTTATCATATCGATGCTTGTATCGTTGTTGTCGGCTATTAACATTATCACGTGTTTGTCGTTGTAATATCAGGAGATTCTTTTTTAATTGTTCATAATAATCTTGCGGTTTGTTGAAGGTGAACGATGTTGAAGGTTCATCTGTAGGTAAACGTGGATCACGGCCATATTGTAATTGAAATGGTGAATAACCAGTTGTTGCATGAATTCCAGTATTGTAAGCGAATACTACTGGTAATAAAAATTCGTCCCAATTGTTATTTTCACGATCTTGAAGTTTTGCAATTTGGGGAACAAATGTTGCATTGAAACGTTCAACCATTCCATTAGTCTGCGGATGGTAAACACTCGAAAAAATATGGTTATAACCAATTAATTTTGCCATTGCTTCCATTAACTGGTTCTTGAAGTGTGTACCTTGATCTGATAAAATAGATTTTGGTACACCATATCGGCAAATATATTCCTGGAATAATGCTTGTGCTGTAGTCTGTGCTGAGCAATCGGGTAAAGCAATTGCTGTCACCCATCGTGTAAAATAATCCGTGATGCATAGCACATATAAATTACCACGTGGTGTTTTCTTAAACGGTCCACAATAATCGATACCAATTAACTGGAACGGTCCTTCTGGCACTGGAATTGGATAGAGTTGTCCTGGTTTCTTTGATCGATTAATATTGTATTGTTGGCAAGGTAAACACGATTGTATATATTTGCTAATCGATTGTTTCATTTTTGGCCACCAAAATTTATTTTTGATCTTTAAATATGTACGTCGAACGCCAAAATGACCACTAAGTGGATCATTATGGTAGAATTGAAGGAGGGAGTTAATCATAGATGATGGTAAATAAATTAATTTTGTTTTTGTAGTGGAATTACTACGCATTAATGCCAACTTGTATAATATGCCATCTTTAAATACATAAGAATGTTTTGTTGAATCTTTCATAATTTCTTTAAGTTTATTTTGAATAACTGGATCTTTTGCTTGTTCAATTTTGATTTGAGTTATATCAAAATTATTAGATGTAATTAAATCTGACGTAACTTCATCTGAATGTTCAATTTTTTCTTGACTTGATGAAGATGATTTATCATTTGTAATTGATGGTATAGTTACATGAATTTGATCTTGTCGTTGTGCTATTTGTTTCATCTTGGAACGTGTAACAACAGCACCAACAATTTGAGAATTGTTTTCAGGAACATGCACCATTTCTGGTGGTTCCCATTGAAATAACATGTTTATGCCATAATCTTCATCAAATATTTCTTCATCATTTTGTATTGGATGACGAGATAAATAATCAGCTAAACAATTGTGTTGACCTTTAATATGAATAATTTTTTCAATGTTATATTCTTGCAATAAAATAGAAATTCGATCTACTCGTCGATTTTTTACCGATGAATTCATCATTTTGCATAAGGGACAATGATCAGTATAAACTATAATAGATCTTCCAAGTAAATAAGATCGCATTCGTTGAAAACATAACCATATAGCTAATGCTTCTAATTCAATAGGATCATATCGTTGTTGAGTAGGAGATGTAACTTGAGAATGATAATATAAATTTTTAATTTCACCATCAATATTTTGTTGTAATGTACCACCTATACCCACTTTCGATGCATCGGTTGTCAGTATAAGTGGATAATTATCATTTGGAAAATTAAGAAATAATGGGGATTTAATTAATAATTCTTTTAATTGTAAAAATGCTTGTTGTTGTGCATCACCCCAAACAAATTGTCTTCGATTTGGTTTGGTCAAATTTGTTACTCGATGGATGGGTGCTGCAACTGTAGCGAATTGAGGAATAAATTTTCGGTACCATGAAATAGAACCCAGGAACTTATTTGCTTCTGCTAATTTAGAAGGTTCCCTCAATTTAATAATTGCTTGAATTTTTTCATTATTAGGTTTAACACCAAATTCAGATATCGTATGAGATAGATAATCAATATGTTGATGAAAAATATTACATTTGACCGGATTAAGTTGAAAATTATGTTTTGATAAAGCAGCTAATACTTGTGCAAGATGATTGAGATGTTCTTCAAATGAACGAGAATATACCACGATATCATCAATATAAACCAACGAGAATTTCCGACATGGTGATAATATATCAGTCATTACTCGTTGAAAAGATGGTGGACTATTCTTAAGACCTTGAGCCAGCACATTCCATTCGAAGAGACCGTCTGGAGTAATAAATGCAGTTTTAAATTTGTCTTCTTCTTTAATTGGAAGTTGCCAAAATCCACTCTTCATATCAAGTTTAGAAAAAAAATTATAGCCACCACCTAATAATTGTATTGCTTGTTCCATATTAGGTAATGGATGATTATCTTTAATAGTAATATTATTTAATTTCTTATAATCAACTACCATTCTCCATGTACCATCTTGCTTAGCTACCAGTAATGCTGGTGCTGCATATGGAGAATCAGATGGACGAATTAATCCAAAATGCAATAATTCTTGTACTATTTTATACATTTCTTCTTGTTTACTTGGAGTAGAATAATATGGTTTAGATACTGGTGGAGGATGGTCAAGCGTTTTAATAGCATGAGGTGTTACATTACTAGCAACTGTTAATTTACTTGTGTCAAATAATTTTGCATTTTGATTAAGAAGAGTTTTTACCCTCGCTTGTTGTTCAGGATTATCAATATGTCGAATTAAATTATTAATGTTCTTATGTACGATTTGATGATCAGTAGTTGAATTTCTTTTAAAAGACAATGTGGGAATAGTTGTTGTTCCCAAAATAATTCCTCTTGGTAAAGAATATGAGTAAGTTGTTGGATTATGAAGTGAAATAAATGATGTATGATGATGAATAGTTAATGCAGAATTTAACATAACGACAGGTGATCGTTGTTGTAATTTAAAAGATGGACGAAATAATACTTGAGCTGACGATAATTCTACCGATACAGGAACTGTTACTGTTTGCTTTGGTGGAACCCGAACATTATTAATTAAACGTGCAGGATATCTTATATCGTTTTTATTAACAGCAAATTTCAATGTTGTACGTTTATAATCATCACTAATTGAAACTATTTGTTCTTCTGTATTAATAATTAATTTATATTTATTAATGAAATCCATGCCTAAAATACAATCAGCACATAATTCTTTAACAACAAATGCTTTAATAGAAGTTAACATATCACTCATTGTAATAGATAAAGTCATTGTACCAAAAACAGAAAGAGATGTATGACCATCAGCTAAAATTATACGACTATGTGATTTATTAACAAGGTGCTTACCATAAGATGGATCTAATGCTTTAATTGAAATAAAAGATCGATTTGCACCTGTATCAATCATCACCTTCATTTTTTTATTATTTACAATAACATTAAGATATAGTAGAGATGTATTTGGTGTCGATGGATTGTTATATAAAGTATTGGAAGCAACACCACCGATCATTGCCTCCTTTACCCGAAATGGGTACGGGTACAATCCCGAGCATAATGTCCAGGAGTACCACACTTATAACAGCAATTTGATCGTTCTGCATATTGTGAATATCTTGAAGGTTCATAACGTTGATTTTGCTTAAACGAAGTTTGTGTAGTACGTGGATAATTTGGACGTGACAGTGATTGTGCGTGTGAAGATATATTTCGTCGAATATTGTTACTTGATTTTTGTGAAGTAGTTGTTCGTTCTAACGATTTTTGAGCTGTAGTAACATTGATGGTAATCTCATCCTGGTGCACGTCATTGTTTGTACTGGTAAATGATAATGTATCTTCAATTTTTCTAGCAAGTAATAAAAATGAGTCAGTTGTTTTTGGATCTTGTAATGCAACATGTAATTTTAATGATTCTCTTATGCCGGCCATTAAATATTTTAATTTTAATGAATCAGGCATAGCTGGATCAACTTTCTTGCATAGTTCAATAATTTTATCATAATATTGCATAATAGATTGATTAACCGTTTGTTTATACCATTTTAATTGTTCAAATGCCAATTCTTGTACTTTTGTTGATCCAAAAGCTTTTATAACGGCTTCAGTGAATGATGACCATGATTTAATCGTCGTAGATGCTTGTGACCACCATCGATATGCATCATCTTGTAAATGGATTGAAATATATTGTAATTTTTCTTCGTCATTCCATTTTGCCATTTTAAAACGTTGTTCTAATTTATCTAACCAATCATAAACATCGTCTTTTGAGCCACGAAAATATGTTGGTTTTTTAATAATTTCATCAGCAATCGTTTGCTGTAAATGTGATGTAGGTAAAATTTTTGGAGCAATAATTGACG